CTGGGGCCGGCATGTAAAACGTGAAACAAACCACAAGAGAGAATGTCAACACGAGGAAGATGATGCCCCGATATGTTGGAGACCAGAGATCAGCAGACATTGCGTACTCTAGAAGTGATCAAGCGAATGCAAAAAGAGAACTGGCTGATGAAACAATGTTGCTATCGGCCGGTACCAATAGTTTGTTTGGTGAAGAATCCACTGTATATACAGTCTGCATCAGATGAGTGCTGAATCTTCAAGTTATGATGCCAAGAAGATACATTTAAAGTCATTTGTCAAATGATTGAGTGGTTGATCTACTCAACCACTGCTATTGGGACATGAAGGTACCAGATTTTAATCATTCAGCATGGGAGTCCGGGCCGCTTTTGAGGATAGTCACCTGATTCATGTGGTGCGTACCACGTAGAAAAAGAACAATAATAATTGAGTATAGTATACATGTAGGAACGATTTTATAATTTTATATTGAGTTCTGATCGGGAGATTAGATTGCTGAGCAGAAAAGTTGAGCTTGTCAGAAGAGCCTTGAAAGTAGTTATGCTCGCGACATTTGGAGCTCAGCACGCAGATGTCGATAGTGTTGGCTCCTGCTGGAACAGCTCGCGCTTTTTCGCAAGCATTCTAGGCATAGACGTAGATCGTTGCTGGATCTCTATACACTCCCTTGAACGCCTTCGTCACCTATCAATTTTTGGCAACTCCGCACAGTACCGTAGAACTGTCTAAATTGAATTTGCTGATCTTGGAATACAGTATTTAATTTAGAGAGTTTTTAAATAAGGGAGTTGGAGAAAGCCATAGTTTATAAAAACTAATCAATACAGGTGCTCTTCCATTCCGATAATTTACATAGAGAGCAGCAAAGAAAACGCTTATGCAGAACATTATTTATTAGTAATAAATTATTACCCCATTAAACTTAGCCCCTTTGTTGAAGTGGCGTCGCGTAATGAGAGCTGGACGAGCCAACTGACTCGACGAATGATGACTGGGATCCGTATGGCAAAATCTGACTGGGTGGTAATGGAGTGAGTGCTGGATGTGATTGGATCACATCGAGAAGTTCTTTCTCGCGATTTTCATCTTGTCGGGGCGTCGCAGGGAGAAGATCGAGAGCGGCTGCTACCAAGGAACAGAGAACAAGAAGGGCACATAGGAAGGTAATTACAGACATGTCGGAAGGGTTTATTGTGTAGCTGCTAACTAATTCACTTTGGCATTTGCCTTCCTCTATTCAATACCCTTGATTTGTACTCTGGTCATGAAAATACTCACTTTCTTGCCCTTGAGGAATTAGTTACTTTGCCTTCCTTCCTCAAGCTCTTATTCTGTGCTGAATTGTTCATTTTTTAGAACTCAGATACGTAGTTTGCCACTAAAGCAGTGCCTTATGAGTTGAAAAGGAAGTCATTTTGATTTGTTAATGCTGTAGTTTGTATGATTCCATACATAGTATAGTTTAGATAGAAAATGATCGGGACCGAGGCCAGGACCATAACTTGTACTGAATTTATAAAGTGCTCTAAATTGTACAGGTTCAATTCAGACCATTATACTGTATATAGACAAGGAGTAATTATGTTCGCATTCAGCCCTACCTACAAGAATCAATATGATTACAGAGACGCTTCACGAATTTTATACATCAATTGAGTTTCCATTGTATTTTGTCCAAACGGTCTTCATCAGCTCAGAAACTTGGCTACACTGCATCTACAGATACTATTGGCTAATATTACTACGCACGAATTGTTTTTTTATTTTTGACATGCACGGCTGGGGATTCCAGCGACCAAACGTGCAGTGGGCAGTAAGTTATCAGTTCCAGTGACAATACCACCTTCTTCTGCCGCAAACTGACAGGAAATTCGCACTACAGCAGCAAGCTACAATGGAAGGTCCAGCCGTATCTCAATGATGAGGTATATCAAGTACGAATCCGCATTGCGGTACGGCAAGCAGGCTACATTTGCTTTGCGCTTGCCATCCTTTTGAATTTGGCTTTCGTCGGCTTGAATTTGGGTTCGAGAAGTGTCTTGACAATTTTGCCGTTATTCCAACCAAACTTTTCAAAATCTTCTTCGCGTACGTATTTTACACTCTGCAGCGAACACATCTTGCTCAAATTTTCTGCTTGAGGCGATTCTAAATGTATTTAAATACAACACGACTGTTTACACCGACGCCATGTTCGACAATATTGGTAGCTACGTAGAGTCAGAATTTGGGCTTATTTGTGAAATGGTAGCATTGAGAAAATTTCGACACTACCACGGTCTTGGTGGATGAGTGCAAGAAAGCACAGAATGACCATGTAAAGGCTATGCACGAGCAGGAACAGTCGCTAATTCCCATTGACCTCAAGGCTACCAAGGTCAGGAGACTGTTTCAGAGCGAGCGCAAAAGATGGCAGACGAGGTCTGAGTGCTTTTTATCAATGTAGCCATTTCGCTGTATCACGTAGACATCATTGTCAAGTAGCGTGTAGGACACTATCTTCACGACTATCTGGCGCACCGTCAATGTATTCTTGTTTGCCGGACTGAGCAAGCTTCTCATTGACGTAAACTTGGCTACTGGTGTGAGATTTTTGTCATAGTCAGTATTATAATTTGGATAATTGAGTTGCGCTTAAAGAGTCTCGATCTCTCTCGCTTGGTCTCATTTTAACAGAAAATCTACCAACGTCCGATTGCTTCCTGACCTTGAGGCAACAGAGTCAGTGACCAAATATAAAAGAGTTGGCTTTCGACTCAGCCGCTTCTTTCCGTTTTTTCATGTTGCTGAATTTTACTGCCTTCTTAAACGTGATCGGTACTGTTCTCACCGGATATACGTATTAGGGCGGTTCGATGTTTTCAATTTATCGACTCGAGCCTGCTATTTGGTTTGTGATATTTGAATCAATCTTCCAGCGACGGTGTCCTATGATGTCTTTTACGCTGTAACTCTTTAAACTGATGCGTTCACCCATGCTTTTTACTTGGTATGTTTTACTATCTCTCGTAGTGAGACTGTCTATATTATTTGACGTAACGGATGGCAGCTGCAGTGGAGTATATCTGTAGTCCCAATGTTCGCGTGTGCAACTTAAACAACGTTTCTTTTGCTTCGATCTTGAATTTCGGCTACGGCGCAAGATCGCTTATTCATTGTAGGCAGTACCAGCCTTATCGTCAAATGCATTTGCGACTCAAATGAGTCGTATCAGCCATCGCATATACTGTTCATATTAATTCATCAAATGATCCAATATGATGCAAATGGTGGTGTATCAAGTCACTCAACCTTGTTTTTGCAATATTCTCTACTCTATACAGACCATTTTAAGTTACGCTTATTAATATTCGGTACATATGAGCCCCACCTTTGAGAAGCCTTCATGTGAGCCATTAATTAAACCTTGAAAGTGACATGTTGGATGGATTGTGATCTCAACGGTATCCGAGAACGTGCTGATAGAATTCGAACAAGCGTGTGTTTCCTTCAATCTTGAAAAAGGATGATCTGCGACCTCGAGCAATGACAAATTTTCTCTTGGGTGTTTAAACAGAAGTCATTTTTATAACCAGGATAATCTGAAATGGTAAAGCTCGTATGTGCGTTCGTTAGTGAGGTAATGAGTGCGTTTTCCGTGGAAATTGATGCGACGAAAACGGTAAAGGACCTAAAGGTAGCGATAAAATAGATGAATGATGACATTTTGGGTAAGGCAAGAACACTGGACCTATATCTCGCTAAGAAGGGCGACGCGTGGTTGACTGAAAATGAAGTTGAAGATGTGAGCGAAATAGGAGGTTTAAGGATAGGAAGTTTCAAGTTTCTGGATGATCCGAAAGCAAAATTTCAGCACGTTGGACTGTCTAATGAGCAAGTAGTGGGAGAAGGTTTTGAAACGGAGATTGCAGAAGAAAATGGTCCTGTGAATGTGTTGGTGTCGGACCGTTGTGCTCGGCCAAGGAAGAGAGTGAAAGTATTGCCAGTCGTTCTGAGATTCCCAAGTTGGTTCTCCAAACGCCATGTCTGGTCGTCGTTTTTGGCGAAGGAAACGGCGAATGATAGTCGCATCATTTGCGATCGATTTGCTCGCCATGACAATATCAAGCCCTTGACTTTAGTCAATCCAATCTTTAACGACTTCGTGGGTGGATGTCAAGGAAAGATTGAAACAACTGCTCAAGACGTGATGTTTGCTGAAAATGTTGCAAAGGCAATGCAACAACATTATTCAGTTACAGCAGATCGAGCGATGAAATTGCGTGAACTCTTGCAGTCGTACCTTGGCATCGCTATCCGTTGTAAAGAATCTCAAGATGGCGGTTCAATATACTCCACAAAGAGAGGATTGCTGTGCATGCAATTGCAAGTCAAGGTGGAACGAGAAAATGGCGACACCGCGATCCAAAACATTGGTAACTACATTTACCAACAGGAGTTCAAACGATACTCGGAAGAATATGAAATTCCAGCATTTTTGGTGGAATTGGAAGGCCCGTGGTTGGGAGTATCGGCCATGCTGAACGTCAATGGATCGATTGTTCATGAGCATTTGTCACCTCAACTTCCATTGTCTGCACCGAATCATTTCCGACAAACAGTGTTACTGTGTCTGGCATCGTTAAAACGTGCTGTCCTCGCCTTGGTTGATTTCTATGAGCAAGATAAACTTAGCAAGATTCCTTATTTTTGTCTTCCATTTGGTTGCGCGCCCCGTTCTGTGCAGATCTCGAGAAAAACGTATAGGGATTGCCGTGGCAATGTCATTAAATTTGTGGAAGGACGCTATGGTGAAAACGTGCACCGCTTCTGCGCAGCAAGAGGAAATGCGCCACCCTTGTTGAGCTGTGAGCCTGTGAGTCCTAATGGTATTTGGTGGCGTATTGTAATTGAAGAATGGGCACTGAGCGAAATTGATAGCGCAATCGATATTGACGATGCCCGAAGCCAACTGAAGTCGCTGCTTGATGAGATGCGTGCAAACAATTTTGTCCATGGCAATTTACGTCCAGAGAATGTGTATCTCTATGGCTCGCGACAGAAAATCACTTTAGTTGATTTTGATTGGGCGGGTGTTGCAGGTGTTGATGTTTATCCTTATGAAATGAATCCGAGAACCATTTGGCGTGTTAGTACAACCGATTGGCCTGTTGGTGCACGGGGAGGAGCCAAGTTAAATCCCGATCATGATTTGGAATGGTTTAATCGAATGTTTTAACCATGTTGAAATAGTTTTTCATTGTTCAAGTAACGTAGTCATTCAGCATTTCTTGACAGAGAAGGATGTTAGTGTAAGAGTTTGAGGCTCTCAACTATTAAAATGTTAATGGTAAAGCTGTGGCGCGCATACTTGTAGCGGCAGAAATTGTTACTGCAATTAATAAATGATATACGAACGCTGACAAAGAATGGTTTCAACTAACTCAACGTCTCCTAATCAAACGAGTCAACTTTTTAGGTTGAAGGGCTTACTCGAAACTTTTGCAAAATATTGTTGCAATTCGGTGTATATGAGCACTTACAAGTATTAATGTCTTAATTCAAGTAAATCGCTTCATCATTTTGCCGGCAGTAGGCCACTTCAGCATAAACAGCAGCAGTAAAACGACCCAAGCACCGACTTTTAAATTTCAGAAGTGCCAGCCACAAGAATTATACGGAGCAACACAATTCTGGGTTGATGAAATCCGCGAAATGATACTCTGCTTTGTCGCCTTCAATATCCACGGAGAACGCACTCTCTGCCTCATCATTTAAATATAATCGCGTTCTCAAACCCATGAGCCTCTAAAGTAACTTGCTCTTATGGGTGTCACAAATTTTATACGCAAGATGTACTATGTTCGATAACTAAACAATATGCAGTGCATGATGCGATGCTAACCGAACATATGTCCCACAGAACTTTCATTTCCGGATTTTCGTCAATCTCATCAGGGCTAGTACTTTAGCACTTATGAGTTGAATACAATAGTACACTACCACCAGGAAAATTTTGCCAAAGTAAGTGAGACCTCGAACTCCCATGAGCTTTCAAAATGTGGGTATCCCTTCTAATATACCAGAGACTTCTAACAGCTCCGTACTTACCCTGCGGTGTGAAACTGGACCCCCCTTTTCTCATCGCGCAGACCCAGCAAAGATCGACCCTAATTTGCTGGCTTCCATTAGTTTGGCAGAATGTCGACTCTGGCTTGTAAGAGCGATATCGCGGTAGTTTGAGCTTGCCAACGTCAATAAAGAATGTGTTTGTGTTTTCTATGCTAAGAGCATAACTCAATTCCTTATTTGACAGTGAGTGGTTTAATGTAGCTTGATTGCAGCTTAGTCTTATAAACAGCGGACACGACATGGGTTGGCAAGCCAACCGCATTTTTTAATGAAACCTTATCCCTACTTCAAAGTATTATCTTTTGTCTGCCTATTTTGTTTTTGCATTTTGTGATTCGCATCCATAGCGTCGCGCTGTGGACACAAGGCTATTAATCTCTTTGAGGCAAAGTACTTGATTTTGCTACAAAAAGGGCAGAGATTAGCGAGATAAATTGTATTGACGCTTCTTCATCAAGATCGAAGCCACTTCTGAAAAGGGGTCACACAAGATAGTGGGGTCACACAATGTTGTGAATCACACAAGATAGTGTAATCACACAATGGTGCGGGTTACGCAAGATAGTGGCGACAGTTAAACAACAAAGTCAGTTCGTGGCTGGAACAGCCAGGAAACCTATATATATTTATAACCGGCTCTGCGGCTAATAGAACCCAGAAATGCAGTTTACATTTCAAACGGAAGAGCTAATTAAACCTTGGGTTAAAGCTGTAGTTACTCTTGAAATAAGTGAATTGTGATCCGCTACACTCGTACTTGTATATAACGTAAGGTCATCGACTTCAGCAAACTTCCTCTAAGCAAAGAGCTGCGGCAGCCCCACCGCACTTGGTAGCACTTGTAGTTAATGTACACCTGAGTCGTTACGTTGACTCTCTGGGAGGATGTGGCATTTCTCCTATTTGCCTTATAGCATGCATGACGGGCTGAAACAGCTGATGTTTCTGTTTGGCCCTGAGGGCGTGCAACAAAAGAAGATGAACCAATCAGCGCGCGCCTAGAGGCGTCTACAAGCTATAAAAACGCTCTGCCAGAGATTACGCAGCAGAAGATGTCGGCGTCGACTGCGTCCATGACGCCACCAACGGCGACAGATAACTCCCCCCAACCCAAGCCGCGTATGTTGAGCGTTAAGACTGTTGAGGGAAGAACAAAGAGTATCTTCTGCGATGGGTGAAAAGGGTCGAGATGGTTATGGCGTCCGCCTTGCTCCAGAACAAGAAATAGTGCGTGGCGCTAGCTATCTCCAAGCTCGGGGAACGAGCTTGAGAATGGGCACTGACGTGCGGCACTTTGGTCGAAGCGGCGTTTCCCTCGTGGACGGAGCTAAGACTGCAGCTTTCACGGGTGTACTGGCCGCCTAATCAGGCATATCGCGTGCGATCACGTTTCTTTGTCGTCCGACAGGGCAAGAAGGAATCGGTGGACTTTGTCCAAGAGTTGCGTACTTTCATTGCCGGTATGGCAGCCGATCTCCCGAGGCGGTCATAGTGACCGTCTTTGTGGAAGTCTTCCATGAACACCATCTTCAAACAAAAAGCAGTGAATGTGGCATTGAGTACTGTCGATTGTATGTTAAAGTTGGCACGACTTGGTTGGAAATAACACCCCAGCACCTCGTTGAGTGGGCCTGAGCGATGGATCTCAGCAATGCTGAGGACGAGGAGATAGAGCTCCGAACTGCGGAGCAGCGTTCAAAAATCCGATTGTTTTAGCATCCGTCCCCTTCGAACTGGTTGTTCCTTGCGCAAGGCGCGCCAAGGTTCATCAAACCGACGTTCCGCTTCTCACTATTCTTCTGGTTTGTCGCGGAGAAATGACAAAGCCCAGTAGACACCGAATATACGACCGGAAGAAAAGATCAACTCGTCGTCGCTTCGAGATAAAGCAGTCGTGGAGGACACCAAAAGGATGTTAAACGCACGAAGTAGATCGTTGATCTTGAAGAATCCATCGGATACATACTTACCTTTGGTGAAGGAATTATGAGACGTCGCCTCCAAACAGTTCCACCTCCTTACCGAAGTGTACGTCATGAGATTGACCTGGTTCCAGAAATCAAATACTGCGTTACACGTCAATGGCCCCTGCCCAAGGAGCAGTGTGACGTTACACCTGCGGTGCCCACCAACTCGGATACTCCGATTTCCAGCACGTTGATCGCCTCGGCCCAGTGCCCACGCCATTATCGTTTTTGCCTCCTAGCAGCGGTGGGTTTATGACTTATCCAAATCGACCAGGAGACGTGCGCATAGCGCTCAAGGTCCCGACCTCCAGTCGCTTCAAGGCTCACTAAGGATGAGGTCATAGTTTGAATCCAAGTCTACGACTTAGCAGCTTTGCACACTATCAAAATCACGAAACTTGACGCCAAGGCACACGGATATTCGGCATCGTGACACGTGTCCCCGTCGATAGGCAAACAGTGTCAGTCGCGCTTTCAGCGCCTCAGCATACAGCTGACTTCCTTCCATCGTGGAGCTTCGAGCGAGCGGGATGCATCTGAGAGTGGCAGGTGATGCCCAAGGGTTGTCAAATGCACCAGCAACATTTAATCGATAAGGGCAAAATTTCAATAGCTAGGACTACCTCGATCGCTCCATTCACGAGTGGGTTATTGTTGTGGTCGTTAACCCGTGAAAGTTCGCTGCTTCACAAAGTGGGTCGGTCACATTTTATATCATGACTCAGGAAATCGTTGCGTCGTGACAAACAAAATTATCCTTGATAAGTTCAGGACCAGACCCTTCTGCTTGCGAGTCACCGTCGCTCTACAATTCACCATCTGATGGTACGATTGGTCTCATAGAAAAGGCTTAGCTTCTCGTTCGTCATGGATCAATATGGCATTATTAAAATTTAAATAGCAATTAGTGCGTGCAACAGCTATGCTAAAGCAATGAAAACTTACTTCTATCTTTGTCAATTTAATACCACGACGTGGTCACGAGAGATCGGCCCTTCGTTTTACCTTCGATCGATGAGAGATTGCGTCTTGTAAATTATTAAGTTTACGAAACAAACTATCGATTTACATGTCAATGGCTCACACCAACGCAACAATTTGACGTCATAGGCACTTTTTTTCTTACAAAGTACAAAGCAAAAGAAACAGCAGGTCACTCCAATCGGCGCCATATCAAACACTTGCGAGCAGTGCTCGAGTGTATGCATTTAAACATTTCTTTCATCGAAAAGAGTGTTATTGGCGCTAAACAATTCTCTCACTGGAAAGTTCACAGGAAGAATGGTTGGATGCAGATCGCGCGACGGGTAAAGTCAAATAAGATAGACCAGTGTCCCTGTCTCAAAAAGACTTGAGGATGTGGCTTAACTTGCCCAGCTACTCGCGAAAAATACAATGTGAATTTCACGACCTGTCATCAGTCTCTTCAAAAATGTATCAAATAGCACTGTAGTGCTTAAAACACGGTCGTCAGGAATACGGTAGGAAGCCTCATTTGTGCCCCATTTAGGTTTGTGAGGATCGAGATCGGACAATGAAAGTCGTCAATAATCACTTCAGCATAATGGCTGAAGTTCTTTAATCCAAGCAGATGCGAACGGGCGTGAATGTGCGGTCTTATTTGAGCTTTACTGGCTCAAAGCGACCGTAAAAAACATTTCCTGTTCATATCAATGCCATAAAATGATAGATTATCAAGTTTGGGGTACACTTTCTTAGCTCTACTCTATTTGTGATTCATACAAATCAATCATCGTCGCGCCCAGCGACGTCGTTACTACATATCAAACAGATAATGACAAAATGCTTATTTTTCTTTGCCGAGTATACTGCGGATGTAACAAATCACCCAGGTCAACTTATTGTGGTTGTGGATGTGCGTTGGCGTCGCCCTGACTATATAGTGTCGCATGTCAGGGAGGCGATGCCGTCAGTTGATGCGGCAAGTACGGTCAGACGCAACATCTGTTACGTTGTTGAAAGCAGGGGGCTTTAGGGCTTAAATGCTGGTATATCGAATTGTGCGCTCACGCGTCTGCATCGCTATCCATGAGGCTTGCAATACTATAGTACTGAACTACATAGTAGTCGGCGTGTAGTAATATCTCGCGGTGATAACTTATTACAATAAACTGCACAAGTTACATAAAAAGCTCCGAGTCATCACCTCGAAAGAGAACAGACATAGATTCGATGAGCATTACATCTTGGTGAATCAATGTATAGAAGTGGGCAAGCATATATGTGCGCATGTGTAAAATAGATAGAAGGGTGAGACGCTCGCCGTATGAGGCGACGACTTTGGTCAGCCTGTCGGCTTCGGCACAGTGCTGAAAGTCCATCAGTATAGGCTTCATTGGTCTCCTCACAAATTGACCGATAATATCAAGATTTTGATAGTGATTTTTGTGATCCCTCGGAGCAAGATGGCTCATCTCGCAGCTGTCAGCATCGGTGTGGCCGATTCGGGTAAAGCGAAGCTGTTCCTTGAAAATATTTTCTGCAACATGATTCACTGCTTACCATTATGTTCGATTGTTATCCGCGCTTTGCGTAAAAATGTCGAACTTGTTCAGGGTTTTGGCACTAAATACGTCAGAAAATGCCGAATGCCCGCAGACAGATGGAGGTAATCCACTGAACGAAGGTCACGATCTGCATGGAAATTGCTGTGCTGGAACGAATCCTCCCCTAGGTGTCTGCGTCAATTAACGCATGTATATCGCTACAAATTATCAAATTTTATACAAATGGTCTTGTTAACCATTTGTACCACCACAAAGTAGCTCCGAATCTTAGGAATTGTTGTTTCAGCCTGGCCATGCTTTTTGGAGAAAATCGATGCGTGATCTTCAAGAGATTGATCATCATGCGCCATGAGTTGGACGATATGGCTGAGAGCCATGATGTTCAGAAACAAAAGCTGATGCTGATGATGCATTATTAAAAAAATAATGAATGAGGGCAAGTTATCTTTACATGTAGGATTTGCTGCCTACAAAATGAAGTTGCCTTCATGTACTCACGGCTTTAGCAAGATCGGTGTAAAGCCATATCTCTAACAATCCAAAGGAAAAGGTACACATACATTGTTCTATATGGGTTGTTTGTACCGACCACTTTTTTGCGAGCTTTTCGGATATGAAAAGCTTGTTAGAGAAGGAGCAGCGTCATTATCATTCCAAGAAGCTGAGTCATCCTTTTAGTGAAAACTGCGACGCGATTTTGACTGCTAGGGGTACGCAGTGGGGTGATGTAGAGCTGAGAACGGATTCAGATCTTGAATCATCTCAGTATCGGCCGCATGCCGAGAGGCTCAGACAGAGTCAGTGTGTCGCCACAGCCTGATAAGCTCATGAGAACCGGCCAGGGAGGGGTGTCTTCTGTCGGCACTGCTCATGAGCGAGCCAATCCAGGTTGAACGATCAGTGTGCCGTTAAGTACACTGAAACTTTTCCAGGAACTTTAAAAATGAAATGGATACTCTCAATCCGAACCCTCGTAAGAATTTGAGATGCCAATTCGGCAAGATTGTTATTTTTATGATCTGGCGCACAGACGACTTTATATAATTAATTTAATGAGGAGAAGTCACCCGTCGCAGCTTGCTTTGCACTGCCAGTGAGGACTGACCTTGCTACTAGTTCGAGACTTGTTGATGAGTGTCACATCAACCTCACAAAAATGAGCGGAGGCGTCAGCAGCAAGAACATGAAAATGACGATATGCCACCTCAACGTCCGTGTCGTGCGTTGTATTTTGCAATTTCAAGCAGAAATCGGTGCTTAACACGGTAGTCAGCTTAACCGAAGCTGATCTGCAAAGCTTTAAACGGGTAGTACGACTCCTTCATTAATGCGAAAGTCTTTGGCACTTCGCCAGGGTTTATTTCTTGAATTGAAGTTTGCCAAGCGCTGCTGCTCAAAGCACAGCATGAGAATTTGTGACAAGTGGAATCGGAAGGCACTTTTGCTCTCTCCGAGAGAAAAAAGCCCGCGCGCACGGACTCCGTCCCAATGAAACGGATGGTTCAAAATGGTGATTGCGACGTCAGGAAATTGGGATGAGTCACATTCGCGCGATAGCTTAGAAAGTAGAATAATTCTCAGTATAGTTCACATATAGGTGGGATGACGACATTTACTATGCGGTGGTGTACAATACTCAATATTTGTGTAATATTAAATGTTTTCATAAGTATCGCAGGGGAGAAATACCAAGTATATTCTACTACAAACATAGTTATGTCTACATATATACACATGTAGACATCTCGCAATTTAGTTATGGAATAAAAATTGCCTCACCAACAATGCTATTACAGTAAGGGAACGTGCTGTGGAACCTAAACCACAGAGCAAATTAGTCAAACCTCATTAATTAAAACATGCTGATAAAATTCAAGAATCTGGAAGATGTTATCACCCTGCATGGAGAAATCAACATTTGCAGCAACATATAGCGAACATTCAAGTAAAACATTTCTTCTACTTACAATCAAAGACTCTTTGTCAGCATGTGATAACTCTCCGGATTTTGAAAAAGCGTGGAAGACCTAAATAGTGTCGTATTCCGTCACAACAGGCAAGTGCTCAGCTTATAAAGAAACAGGTTCGTAGATGCGGTGTTTGTAAAAATGTGGATCATAACAGCAGAACCTCTGATAAAGTTATGAATGTCCGGCAAATTCATTCATGTTAGATATTAGTTACTGGGTCACTTCCACATGATATAACGATGTTCTCATCTGTCGCTTTCTCTTTATGCGCACTTGATGTATTCTTGCACTGTTGTTGACATACAAATATGTATACATGTATACATATACATAACCATACTCAAAGTTGGTATATTTTTTTAAATATTTGTTTTGTAGATTTCATTATTTTTCTAGTTTTAAAATAAAGCACATCTTATTAAATAGTAGGGTCCTTCTGGCGGCTCCAGAAATTTGACTTGTGTATCGAATCGTGAAATGTAAATCAATCACTTGCAATTTCTTTTTTTTTCATCACGTCCGTTGTTCCGCTCAACCGGCTTAGATGAAAGCTCGGCTGTCAAATGACATTGTGGATGGTATTATTTCAAATATTTTTATGGCAAATGTAGCCTTTAAATTACGTGCTTTTATCGTTGTGATTGTGCTAAGATCTTGAATGCGAAGAATTCAAGAGTATCACATGCTTAGTTCGCATCATATACATTGCGTCACCAGATCAAACTACATTGTGTGCCGAGACATGACAGATACAAACGATGGAAGAGGAAACATTGATTGCAAAGGATTGTCTGATTCATACTATCAGCACTAAACATATTATCAATAAAACTTGAGAATCGTTTTCGTATTACTCTGTGACTTGTGCCTATTTTAATTTATACTCAATCAACATTAAGATTCTGCTATGTGCAAAATAATAAAAGAAAATGTAGTCAAAAATATTATTCATGCGATCAGTTGAAGCGTACGACGTAGAAAGAAAAGAATGTTCCCTTACAGCAAAAATGTTTTACTCTTACAGCAAAATCGTATTACTCACAGTGCGAGATGAGGCTAACGCGAAGTTGTGCTAAAAGTAAATCGCTTGAGAGCTTTGACTGGAATCTTTGACTTCACATGAGCATCTTCTAAGCTCGTAAATGGACGCTTCTGTAAGATTTGGGTACGGAAGTCTGGGCCTACACCCTTCACGAAAACCAGTTGGATTTTGGAGCTCGTGTTGATACATGGTGAAGGAACAGACTTGATGACTAAAGCACGAGCAGCGAATGGGCCATAATACTCTGTCAAGCAGGTGGCATCGACAAAAGCGAAATTTGGCAGCATACCTAGACTTCACTCGTGGTATACATGATGAATAGGTCGTCAGGACCTGCAACCTTTGACTACTATTGAGCGAAAATGTCCAGTGATATGTTTTCTTCAACGCATTGAAAGTGATGAACCTCATAAAAGAAGCCCTTCGTCGCATCTTCCAGACATAGAGATGCATCACCAGATGATGTCCCAGCTGCAGGCTGATACAGAAAGCACTTCTCACGACCATTACCACAAGAGCAACTTCCTTTGCTAAAACCTTTCGTCTTGTTGAGCATCCACTTTTCAGCAAATGCATACGTCAATTGACGCTCAATAACATAACGATTGCATCCAGCGCCAAATCGTGCCCCATGATGAATATTCGTCCATAGCACAAAAAAAAATTCGTTCTGAGCAAAGCTTGCGATTTTAATGCAGTGAAATGCTCCCAAAGTTGCCATGGCTTCAAATCTTCCAGTTTCTTTTAATGCTCGGCCATGTTCATCCATGTCATCAATGAATAGCTGAGTCAAGGCTCGATTGCCGTGGTCGAAAACATCGAATACGTCTCGGCCGTTGATCTTCGGGCGCTCCGATGATGTCGTCTGTAATACCAGTGTCCATAGTTGTGAATCGGCCAGAATACCATTCACTGGCTGGTATATAGTCGCCGCGCAGATCACAATTACCCAGGCTTCAATGAGGTCACAAAGCGACACAAGCACACAATAAAACTTAGAGCCCTTTCTTCATGGATCATGTTGAAACTTTTGCATACTGTCAACGCAGAGGATCACGCTTATTTTGCTTGAATTTATTTCAGTGATTGCCGACAACTTCGTCAGCACTTGGTCTGGATTAACATGATTCTCACGATTCGAAATAAAATCACCCCAGCTCACCAAATTTTGCAATCGGTACAGCATTCGATTCCCAATGGCTTGACTTGCATTGGCGGCAAAGTTATTCCATTTTCAAAAGTAACCTTAAATGTGTAGGCATCTGCTTCATTACCGAATCTCCTTGTGTCACCTTAAGAATAATTTGCTGCTGCAAGAAATTTGTAAAGTCGTCAAGGAGCCTCAGTTTTTCACATCCAGAACCATCTAAGCACAATTCGCTTGTCAGTCCTTCCATCTCGCCAAGCTTCGTAATGACAATGGCGTTTTCGTGGTAGCCAAAATCCATTGAGTTCTGAGAATTCCAATCCACACCATTCGATGTAACCAAAGGCTTTACCTCCTTTCACAAGAACAACGTAGGTGACAATCTATTCGGTCGGAACAACCACCAACGCGTGAACGGATGTATTCACCCTCATAATATCTTCGATCGTGATTTCGAACGCAACATCTTTCTCCTACAAGCCGAACAAACGAAGCCACAACCTTCACTCGTGTCACTGATTCTTTCGTCCCACTGTTTTGCTTTAACTTACCAAGTCGAGTAAGTGGCGCGTACTTTGGCCGCGTGTCAAATGAAAAAACATGATATTAAACCGAATTAAATGTAGATTTCAACTATAGGAAAGAAACATATTGAAATCAGAAGTGAGCCAGTGGTTTCATCAACTTTAAAAGGATAATTGTTCCCACGATGTTTGTCAAGTCCTTCATGTGCACTATCCAAATCGACACATTATCGTTTCATTGCTCAACGACAATTGGTATCACCCCAAGTAGCAGTCAAATGATCGTCTACAGAGACTTTAAGACATGAACAGTCACACAAAGTATCATAATTGAAAATACCATTTACTAACGGAGAAATTTGAAGTAGAAATCTCCAGTGACGCTCGTGAACGCTAGTATCTTTTTCAGTATAACTCGTTCACAAAGCCATCACAATCTAGTCGCGAGGCGCGTTCACTTACTAATTTAGCAAATACAATCAGGCCGCACTAAACATTGCTGATGTAATGATAGAAATACTTGACATTTCTTTCAGACAGACTAAAAACTCTTTGAATATGACGGTGTGAGGTCAAATCGAATGTACTACTTAACATGACAAGAACTAATAAAGTCTATTTTATCTCTTTAAAAAATTGTTTTGCTTACACAGCATTTCGAATAATAAAGGCCAATGCCAAGATCCCTATAATAAATAGTAAACTCGAGCTGTACGTCAACAAGAAACGCTTGAGTTTACTCGATGAGCTAGTAACAATAGCTTTATATCCAACATTGGTGTGTTGCTTTGGTGCCATCTTTTTTATTATCCACTTCCCGAAAGGTGAGCGTTTGAACTTTTCAATCAACTGCTTCACATATTCTGGCATCTTTTTAATCTTCATCAAAACTTCGTGCACTTTCGAGTGCTTGGAAATCGTCACAAGCTTCGAATTAAGTTTCGTCACTGGAGCAAAATCTGATGTCGTTTTGAATAATGACTTGAACCAACTTGAGCCTGGAATAGTGGATGTCCGCTCTTCGGTTGCTAATTGAATGAAATTAGGCGCAGTTTTAAGGTCATGGCGACCTTTTCTTGTAATCAGTGGGAATGTAGTCTTGTCTTGAGTGTCTTTAGTGTCAACTGCCGTACTCGTGACAAAAGCAATAGCTAAGAGCATCCACCACTTGCACATCGGCATCCTAATGGCGAAATTTACGAGCCTACGATTGATCAAGTCGAGTCAGTAGTGTTCATCCATTCCTTTCTCCCAGCTGTGTGCAATATCAGTACATTCTTTGTACTGACACGTAGGTAAGATAATTAACAAAAAAGGGCTAAGCTAATTTCCATACACAATTTTATCTTTGTAAAAGTAAAGGCTATAGTTTTTAGAAGTTAAAATTCAAGCTGAGTGGTCTAATCTCTCCGAACGATTCCGTCGTCTATCGACGCTTACGGTGTCAGTGATAACACGATCAATTAACAGAGATGCAATTCTTTTTAAGACGCGGTGGTCAGAGATCAAGATCTATGATCGCCAAATCGAAAAGTTTACCGCAGGTGCCGTATTTTAGCAAAAGGGCAAAATAGATAAAAGGTCAAATTGCTAGTATCACTTTCGCACAGATTCAAACTCGTCTACTACAAATTTGCAGCTGAAGCACAGTTTTATTCGCAACCATTTCGCATAAGGTATAGCGTAGTAAAGATTCTTTTTGTATTAGTATTGTAAAAAACACATAGACGGTATATTCAGAACCTGGTCGCAACATTCGAGGTATAACTGCTTGTAATATTCTTGAAGTAGCGACTGACTCTCATGGCTTATATATCCATGCTTCAATTCAAATTATATAATAATTAGCAAATGTACTATCAAGCAGTTCAGTAATGCACCAGCATTATATGCTACAATCTATCAAGCATAATGGATATGGCACGATATCATACATCGTTTACAGAGCTGCATAATAAAAATGCTACATTCTTTGGTATATTGTGGAGCCGTCATGAGACCAAACAATATAACAACTTAGTCTGTCCATTCATTGCTCTTGCCATAACAGTCATCACTGGATATATCTTGCTGACTTTATAGTCATTGGTCAGTAAAATATCAAATATTCTATTAAGTAAGAATTGATATTATTTATCAGATCGTTGCAACTTAAGAGCTATGTTGCGTATCGTCGCCATACTGACTCCTTCGCTTTGTGGACGGATGAATTACCTGAATGTTGGAAGTTCCAGATGCCATTTACGTATATAACGGCAACATGACCAAGTTATCACATGCACAGAATAGACCAAAATACAGCAATCACGTCAGCGGCGTCAATTACCATTTTCATTGTCGTCCTCAACTCTGCAGTCACCAAGTAGCAAAGACAATAGCCTTTTGCGCGCTCGTAGAGCTAAGGCGAATCAAGTTGTTAAACTTTTGTATGTGATATCAACGATGTTCACATTGCTCAAATGTAGAGGCAACTCAAGGTAATGAAACATTTGGACAACTCGACTTGGCGCAAATAAGTTCAGCGCGAAGCGTTGCATAGAGCATTAATGACCGAGATTTACGATGACAAAGTGCTTTCTGTCTGACGCAAACCTGTCTTCTGCCGTGCCAACCTTATCCGTACCTTAAAGACAAATCCCAAACATACTGTAGCTGTCTCACCACTTCTTGTGCCAGCTCTTCATGTTAGACTCCATCAATACTTATTTAACATCAAATCTGCAGCGGGCTTTCGTAGCTCTTTGCTAGAAAAGAGCTTACTAAGGTCACCGATATTACATTCTATTCAAGAACCAGTACGAGGTTAGCGGATTGCGATCCGCTACCTCGAAGAGTACTTAAATACCTACACCAAGGCAAAGACGCTCATCCAGTCGGGATTAAAACTGTATTTGAATGTTTTGTATGCGGCAGAGCCGCCTATATGTAAAACTTTTCCTACTTGAATATTAACATCTAAATAATATGCATGACTACTAGCAGTTCTTGTTACAGTGTAGCCACAATATTGTGAGATTACATCGTCTTGTGTAATCCACACTTTTGAACGGTCAGACCATCTTGTGTGACCCACACTTTCATACCTGGGTACGTGTGACCCTGTTACACTCTCCCATCTCCGGAAAATACGTCCGCGGCTTCACGGGAAGCACATCCCAAGCCCTTGGCAACCGAGCGCCACACACCGCGCCCGCCACGGGTAACGGTTTTCCACGTCGAAGATTCGAAGGAAGTCGACAACGAGTCGGGCACTCCTTTCCCAGCTTGAGGATACAAACAACGCGCCAACGGCGCGATGTGAGCTCTGCTCAAACCTTGCGGACACCGTGTCCGTTTCCCGACCTCTCGACTTCCGGGGTTTTATTACCAATCTCCACAACGAGGCATTGGAGCAGCAGTTGAAGACCACCCACAGGGCGGTACTCATGCGCTCATATTTACGTTTGGTCCTAGACCTCGTGTGGAATACGGCTCTCGCTCGGTGGGTCCCGGTACTGAAGCGAAAGATGCGATCACTCGATCATCAAGCATCTACGTAATCGGGCTTCCGGCCACTACACAAGCTGAGCTTGACCAGCGGAAAGCTCTCCGAGCTCGCTTCTTGGTACCTCAAGAAATCGTAATGGATAAGTACCACGCTCGACTTCAAGCTCCGAAATGGGACTGCTCCTGTACCCGCAATGCGGACTATTTTTGTGGTGCTCGCTCATGGCAAAACTGCTGCAGATGATGAGCGATGGGTGCAACGGCACCGGAACTTTCCTCGCTGTCTCACTTTCATCAGAGCCACAAGAAATTGGACGCTCATGTAAAACGCCATCTTCGATTTGAGTCTACCAAACTCAAGGCGCAGCACCAATTTCCTGCATTTTGTCGCCCCGCGAGTCCATCACGCCCCCATGAGATCTGTTGTCACTCACACGGGTGAGTCTACGTCCACAGCAGCTCAGGTCCATAGCTTGAGCTCAGCTGATGGCCCTCGGGCTTCCCGGGCTGCCACCGAGCAGCGCGGGGCCCACGACGACGCGAAGCGTCATGATCCCTCTGATCATAAGCGTCCACGACGTCTGGACAGTCTTGCCGAAGTGGCACCTCAAAATCCCGCGAGCTCTCGGATTTTGGGTATCCCCGCCACTTCACAAGATATTGGGATCGACCCTGAAACGAACGTCGACCCACAAGGCGTTCCGCTTGATAGTGGACGCCATCATTCTCATCGAGAAGAGTCAGCGACATAAGATGACGACTTAATCGATTGTGCTCTTCGAGTTTTGAAGGACAAAGTCCGTCGTTATCGGCATTCCGTCGAGCATCTTGCCGTGATCGCATACCGCTGTGCGGAAGACCTCGAGAGCTTGGAGCACTTTGTGCACCGACTGCCTCACGTTGAGGATTATCGCGCTCGTCATAGCGACTCCTAGCCGTCGAGCCGACGAATACGTCACTAAGTGCGACGGTGAAGCGCCTTGCGCCGTTGGAAACGTAAATTGTTGCACTCCGTGCTCAGACCCAGTTGCTGGTTAAACTGCTGAGTGGCTGAGCGCCTTTGGGCGTCACTCTGGCGCCAACGCTTCCGCGTTCACTTGCGCCGGATCTGGGTTTGGCTTAAGCAAGCCCACATAAGACCCTGGGTGGATTCGCATCCTTCTCGGAAGGGTTCAGCGTATACGCAAGGCCTCGCTTGTCCACGACCTCAAGAAGTTCGATCACCGTGGATGGAACTTCGTCTTAAAGACAGCAGAGACTGCATGTGTGAGAAGATTTTTAGCATTGAATAACACCAGGTCTCCGACTTCAATGTTTTCAACAATTCTTCATCCTCTTCCGTCTGCAATTTTTTTCTGCATGTCTTGGTTTTCAGCCATCGCATTGCAAACGTGTCGTAAGACACTCAGGCTGATGGACAGGAATCATCGACCTCTTATCAATGGATGAGTCAAAGAGCGCTTGCGACATGGGCTAATCCGTCGTTTAGACTCAATCTGCTGTTAACAGCATCCTCAAAAAGAGTCGCGAGCTACAGATGTTGACCTTTCGGCTAAACGGCCAGTACCCGCAGCTCGATTAAGCCTTGGCAAAATGGGTGCTTCAATGCTAGACAAGGCATCTAGCCATCACTGTAGATCTCATCAAAACCAGAATCAACAGTCTTTGCTGACCGACTTGGCTTGCACGAGAATGCATGCAAATATTCCATTGGGAGAAGAATAATCTGCGTTGCATCAGAATCCATGGCGAGAGCGGTACAGCAGATCAAGCAGTGATCGATGCTGCCCTTCCTGCGCTTATAGCAGTCATTACTCGGTTTGAGCTGAAGGATGTGTTTAACATAGCTAAAACTGGTATGAATGCTGACAGCGTACTTCACATGGGAGCTCCTTAATTGATGTCGTCGTAGGATTAAATCAGTCCATGGTTTCAGAAAAGACCCTCGTACAACAGCAGATTGAGGGACGTTGACAAGACAAAGTTGGTTATAAATCTGGTCTTATATTTGAACAGGTTGCCTGAACTATCATTCTCACCTTATGCATCATAGAGCCGCATCACTTTTGCCTTTGCTGCCAATGCAGACAGGTCAGAGAAGCTCAGACCATTGTTCATTGGAATGGCCAATAAGCCTCACTGTTTCAATCGTAAGATAAAATCGCAGCAATTAGAAAGCGTGGATGTCCGGCGCCCTGTTTGAGAAGACTTGACAACGACATGAAGGTGCAAAATGTAAACGCTATAGATATGTTCTCAACATTTTCAATCACTTTTCGTTTAGATGAGCAAACCTCTCTTTTACAAGATAACGCCACTTCTCACATACGAGGTGAATACTGTCAAGATGATCTTCCTTTCACTAAACTGCACGTCAAAGATCCAGCTCATGGATGCTGAAATAATCTCCGCGTTTAATCGACAAGACAGACGTTATCATCTTCAAAACAGTGGAACTACATATATTAGTTATACAAGGTTATGAGTTATATAAGTTACATCATACTAGAAAACGTACCCTTGAACTTTCTCAAGTCTCCGTAAGTAATATTAGACATAATAAAGCCGTTTAAATTCTAAAATTTATTATTAAGTAGGTAATCGTTTTTATTACAAATATAGAAAAAAGGACACGTTTGTTTCTGTGGTTATAAAGCAAGTTAAAAGCTTCGAAATGAGGAATTTTACTGAACTACTGCCTGATCTCATTCATTCGAATAGATTTCACTCGAAAACAATAAATTACAGTACAAAACATCACTAGATTTTCAAGACTTCTTAAAGTATTTTAATTGGTTAATATTTAACTATATTAATTTTCAGCCAATGAAATTAATCTCCTTCTGTCTTATCCACTATCAATTGAACGATGACCACAAAATATCTGTACGTACATCCATCGTACAGATGTTAGAGAGCAGCTGTAGTCAACCCGTTGGGTGCATCATCTTCAAACGATTTTCTTCATTCAACAAGACAAGCAGCATAGATCAAGAAGTTCATATCCCAATACTCTCAATTCATGGCTCACTCTTCTCATGTGATTGATAATCAAGTTGATAGTAGAATCTCAAAACATTCGACATCTCAACTTCTCCAACGTAATCCACATTTGCGTGAGAGTAACACAATGTCTCCATATGATCAACTCATTACTCGTCATTTAGTTACACCTGGTTCCGTAACATCTGCGTCATCATTTGAAGAAAGTGTTGTATCTGATCAAACATCCGAATTTGGGACTCCAGCACTTCTTCAAAGTAATTCTAAAAGTTGGAATTCCAAGCAAGAGATTGGAGTGAAACAACCAAGAAAGAAATTATCATCTTTAAATCGTGAATTACTTGTCCGAAATCTCGAGGTAGAATCAACTGCGTTTGATAGAAACGAGGATACATCGGAGAATTTATTGGAACATCTTGTGATTAAGACTGTGCCATCATTGAACGATTCTAGTCGTACAAGAACAATCACGACATTACCATTATCACCACAATCATCGAAAGTTACTCGTCGAATTGTTGTATCTCCACGTCGAACGTTACGTCGTGTTGTAGTACGTAAAGTTGGAGTGAATGGCGAAACTGATGAAAAAGTGGAATATCTAGATGGAGATGGACATGTGGTCGAAGAAATGAAAAAAGTGTCCGATGAGTTGAATGTACGTACAATTGAACAAAGTCAAGATCGAATTGTGGAGAATGAAAATGAGATACAAAAGTTTGAGATGAATGGAAATAATGTACGTACGAATCAGGATGTGGGTACAGTAGTAACACAGTCAATTGTGTCAAATAATCAAGTGAGGAATGAAAGTTCAAGTCAACGTAAAGTTACTCGTCGAGTTGTACGACGAAAAGTTGTACGTGAAGATGGTACAAAGATTTCGTACAGTGATTCGGATCTGGATGAAAGCTTTGCGAATAGTACAATAAGTGAATCTTCAGTTCAAGAATTAAATGTATCAATGAATCGGCATCAAGTGATTCCATCTAAAGATTTGGATGTTAATTTGGAAGAAATGAAACATTCAGTGAATACAGAAGATGATACAAATCAAGATGAAGAACGAAAAGTTACACGTCGTGTGGTTACACCTTCACGTATTGTACGACGAATTATTGTTCGAAAAGAAATGATTGAAACTAAAGGTACAGACGAAGAAAAGAATGAAATGAAATTGATTCCAAACAATGTCGTTGACTCAAAAGATTTCGCGTCACTTTCAAGTGAAAATCATGATTGGAATTGTAGTGAACATGAATGTTGCACAAAGTCGACAAATGATTTCCAAGCTTTGGAGAAGTTGATGTCGGAATGTGTTCATGAGAATATTGAAGAATCTTCAAATATTGACAAAGTGATGAGTTTATCTGATCTTGAGGATGAAAAAAGTATTTCTACAATCGAAGAACTCGATCAAGTGCCAAGAATTGAAACGATGACGTTGGAACATAGTGAGCAATTGATGTCAGACAGTGAGAAAATTCCATGTGATGATTTGGAGATAGAGAAAAAAAGTGATTGTACAAATTCGTCCGATCATTTACAATTTCATTCAAATGTATCGGATCACGAAAATCGTGAATATTCAACTGCATCTTCAAATGAAATGAAAGCAAAAAATCTTCAATCTGATCTTGAAATGTGGTTACAAGATCGAATTGTTACTATCACGCCATGTTCATTACTTTGGAGTGATATTTGTTATAAACGAAATGAAAATGATTGGATCTTGAATCATGTTAGTGGATCAATTGAAGCAGGTGAGTTTTTAGTTTTATCAAGTCCAATGAAAGATCAAAGTCTTGCACTTTTATCATGTTTAAGTGGTTTTGAAGATAAAATGGAAGGAAATGTACGAGTGAATGGAGAGAAATGGAATGAAATGACGAAACGATACGTTGCGTATGTACGAGAAGAAGATTTTTTCTATCAAACATTAACAGTGTACGAACATCTTATCTTTCAAGCAAAATTACGAATGCGTCGTACACATTTAAATGACATGTGCGTCCAACGTGTGGAATGTATCGTACAAGAATTTGACTTGACCAAATGTCAAAATACATTAATTTGTGACATCCCAGTCAATGAACATAAATTACTTGCACTTGCAACTGCTTGTTTAACAAATCCGTCATTTTTATTTGTCGAAGAACCAATTGAAAATTTAGAATTTTGGAAAGCAGAACAAATCGTGAAAAAATTACAATGGCTTGCAACTGGACGAGGAATGACTGTCATTTGTACGATGCAAATGATTCCGTCATTTGTGTACGATCATGTTGATATACTATACATTGTGGCAGATGGAGCATGTGTATACGATGGAAAAGCTTGCAATGCAATTGGGTACTTTTCAACTATTGGGTATCCCTGTCCGGAAGAGATGAACCCATTTGAATATTTCATGCTGCAATTGAACAATGATGGCGATCACAATGCACTCACTCGTGTGAATACATTGAAACGAGAATGGAGTGAGAGAAATGCTGCTATTTATGCTGATAATGCTGTTTGTGCTACAAGAAATGACGAAAACCGTTTTCAGGATTATAATATCAGTAACCGGTATTACCATATGAATTGTTGTGGTCAATTGTACCTTTTGTGGACACGACACATTTGTCGATTACGTCGATACTATTTTGTATTTTCGCGTGATATTTTCATAATGTTATTTCTCGGTACTATTTTTGGATTCATATACTTTCAATTAGATGTCGACGATCAACATGGTGTTCAGAATTTCAGCAGTGCATTCTATTCTATTCTTATCGTACAAATGCTTGTGATTACATACCGTACGTTTGTATATGCTCCAAAAGAGATTGCTATTGCACTTCGTGAACGACAAGAGTACCGTGGAGGGTGGTATCATTTACTATGTTGGTATAGTACAAAACTTATGGCTGAATTCCCAGCTTTAATACTTTTATCCATTGCACTATTTGTACCAGTGTATTTACTTATTGGAATTTCACAAGGCTTTAATGTTTACGTCTACATGCAACTTGTGGTCATACTTGTGGGGTGGTCGACCATCGGTTTGGCATTTCTAACACTTAGTGTCCTGCAACAAGTGACCATTTCTTTAATTGTGCATACAATTATTCTGGTATTCTTTGCTGTTTTTGGTAATTATTTTATTCATGTGACAGCTATTCCGGACTGGCTTGTGTGGCTCCATTATATCTCGCCACTTAAATTTGCATATGATGCACTGATGAAAATCTTTTGGAAACGCGTGGATACAATTACATGTGATTGGACACTTGACGGATGTGTTGCACGTACAGGTGAACAATTACTTACGTTTTACAAAATGGACACACGATCAGCATTAAGTGATACTTTGATTTTATTTGCCATTTGTTGTACATTCTTTCTTGTGGCTTTGGTTTTTTTAATCAAAGTGGCAAGTAATAGACATTATAAATTTCATTGGCAATACCAGTGGTATGATTACATACCGCTAACATTTCAAAGTGGCACAACACAACAAAGTCTTGATCAAACGATTAGATCAAAGACTCCATCGATTGTAGAAGATCGTATTACTGTTATTGAGAGTGACAAGTATTATATACAAGTTCAAACGCCACGTGAAAGTGGTCGTACTGATATTTCAAGAGTTACTTTGAGTTGGTACAATTTACAATTAATTACAAAGGACAAGAAATGTCAAGTTGAAAACGTACTGAATCAGTCAAGTGGATCAGTTATGTCAGGTGAAATGTTATTGATTACTGGACCTTCAATAGTGTCCAATGAGGCATTATTAGCAACTTTGGCAGGTTATTTAGACACGACATCGGGTAGAATGACAATAAACGGGGTGGCAACTTCGGCACGGGAACTTTTGGAGTACACAGCATTTGTTCCACGTAATGAGTCATTTTACGATACATTAACAGTTGAAGAGCATCTACGTTATCAAGCTCAACTATACTTTGGTATGTCGAGCTATTCGTGCAGCTCAAATCATCGTGACGTTGAAATTGAGCGTGTGGTACTTCTTTTGGATGAATTTGACTTGACAATGAAGCGTCATATGATTCTTCGACATTTGTCATTAGTAGATAGAAAATTACTGGCAATTGCATCAGCAATTATACGACATCCGTCAATTTTACTCATCGAAGAACCCACCCATGGCATGGATATTTACTCATCTGAACGTGTGATTCTTAAGCTACGTCAACTCGCTCGTATTGGACATACAGTTCTCGTGACAATAGCACGTCCCTCATCGCATTTATATCCTTTGTTTGATTCACTTCATCTTCTTGCCGAAGGAAGTACAGTCTACCATGGTAAAGTGACAGAAGCTGTACCATATTTTGCATCTTTGGGTTACCAGTGTCCACAATATAAGAACCCTGCGGAGTATTTCGTCCGGTTATTATCGGTATGCGATAGTAATACCGAAACAAACGAGAATCAGATAACTCGATTTAAGGAATTCTGGACAACTCAAATTTCGGAAAATCATGTGACTATAAATCCTGAACTACCTGAAGTGTTGAACGAGGAAATGACATGGAAACAACGTCGTGCTGGTTTCTGCAGCCAATGGATTCTCTTGCTCTGTCGTCATTTTCTCCATTTGATCCGTAGCCATTGTGTACTATTGTGGCATGCATTATATATGTCTCTCTTTGGACTATTTTTTGGTCTTATCTTTTTGCAGCTTGATGTCGATGATCAAAGGGATATTCAAAATTGGTCAGGCGCATTATTCTGTATTATTGTACTACACATAAGTTTAAGTATGTCCCGAACTTTTGTCTTGATTCCACATGAGAGAGCAATTGTAAAGCAAGAATACCGTATCTTTGGACGATATTACCTTTCGTGTTGGTATTTTTCAAAAGTTCTGGTTGAGATACTTGTCATGTTTGTGCTCTCAGTGTGCGTGTTTGTACCAGCGTATTTACTCATTGGTTTCGGTCATGGCTTTGAGCTCTACATATACATGCAAATAGTTATGTGGCTTGCTGGCTTAAGTGCCACTGGTTTGGTATATTTATTGCTTGGTCTCTTTGAACATGTTCATCTCGCAGCTCTCGCTTCAATAGTATTGCTGGTTCTCTTTGTACTGTTTGGAGGATTCTTAATTAATGTCGATGATATACCAGATTATTTCAATTGGATGTATTATACTTCACCTGTAAAGTATGGTTACGAAGCACTGATGAAGCTTTTTTGGGAACGAATTCCTATTGTGCCTTGCAATAGCTCGACAGTGTCGAATTTGGGATCAAGTCAAGTTGATGACTGCATTGCTCAATCAGGTGATGAAGTTCTTGCATATTATAGTATGGATATTTCACGAAGTGCTCGCAGCGACAGCTTCATTTTGGTTGGACTCGCTGCACTGTATTTCACTCTTAGTTATCTTGTTTTCGTATTGTGTTGGCGTTGGGTAAGAACTCAGCAACGACAAAAGTGATACATCGTTAAAATTTTAATCGAGACGTTGCCATTATATTCTTAATAACCGTCAAAAACTTTATCATTCTTTGTTTTTCAATATTTTTTCCTCAAAAATCGGAACATTTGTTTAATGACGTCTGTTAAGTTTGCTGTATCCCTTCAAATGCCTTGTAAACGTAGTGCTTAATAGATTTCGTATCAAAAAATTACATCTTACAATACGGTCTTTCATTTCATACAGCACAAGCATCTGAATCACAAAAAAGATGAAAGCAACATCAAAATCGAAGTACTAACAGATGTCTTAGTTAAAGTCGCTAATAATAGTCATTTTCCTGTGTATTAGAAATATATTTTGGCATCAAGATGAGTTAAATGCGGTGATAAAAATTCGCGCTGGTTAATTAGTAATAATGTTCAGGATGGTTGCGCAATATTAATGGATCATCTCGGCTTTCGACTCTAGAAAGTAAAAGTGTAAGCTCTGACACGTAGATATTTAAGAAAGCGCAACTTCTATTATATTGTTTACTTTAAATCTTACTTGGAAAGATGAATTCTTATGATATCATCGGATAAGGAATATCGTCTTCATTGCATAGTACTTTGTCAAACTCGAGGCTAAATGTAACACAGATATGCTAGAATCACAACTTTAAAGGATGCTATTTCTTATGACAGACATCTTGATATACTAAAAACTAAAATCTTCGGTATTTGCAATGATGGAACACAAGATGGGATCCAGCATGTCACCTAATATCCGCAATTTTTAATTAGCCAAGAGGTAGGCTGAAGCCAACTCAATGATGGCGTCACTGAAAGTGGAGGCCTGATGTCAGTTTGTAACAAGTACCATCACATGTTTATTACAAGTCGCGACAGATGATGAGGCTTACGATGACTGGCGGCATCCAGCTGCCGCAGCCAGTTTTAGACCAGTGCTACCATTGCTTTCTGAGTAAGTTGTATGGCTTCACGATCGTAGACTGTTCTGAAATGTATCTGAACCACTCCTCGCGAGAAAAAATGATCCACAATTTGCTCGTTCTACTTCTATATTTAGTTCAAGGTTCGAACTCATAGGCTTGCATGTTCTCTATCCCAGCACGTTGTTCAGTGCCTGCTGCCTCTGGAATCATCTGGTGGAGAAATATATTACCGTATTATGGTGCAAAGTTCTGAGGCACCAAATCACCTACCTGCACTACTGAAGACGATGGGACTGCGTAGCAAAGAGTTTTATTGGACGTGTGGGCAGTTAGCCTCACGTCCTATTTAAACTGGGTAATGTTATTGGCCTGGTATTGTTTTAGATTTGATATGGATGGAATATATGCCCTGATAGAAATCGGAAAGCAATTGGGTAATTAGCACTCAATTTGCTCTTAGATGGTGCCTACGAACTCATTAAAAAGTGGCCGCCTATGCATGTTGCACGGCAATCCCGTTGCTAGTGTGGTATTAAGCTTAAGAATGGGGGAGTTGATAGTAAAATATCAAGCGAGGAAGAAGCTACTTGAACAGGGAAATCCTAATTTTCTCAATATCATTAGAAATAGAAGCTATCTTGCTCGATTTGACGGTCAAGAAGCGTATGTTCATAAGCGGCATTCAAGATGCACTAAGCATGTCAAGGTGTAAGCACGTTTCATGTTTATCATCCACCGTGTCCATCAAATCAGATCAATTATACCATCAACAAGACTTAGGATTGTTGAGTTGCTGAAGATGATAAAATTCGTGAAGATCTAGGATAGGGGAACTGGTTATGCATAAAAGGGTCAAGCACATAATCAAGTACCGGTAGATACCGATAAGTTCTGGACACAGGTCAAGACAGTAGTGAGGGCAAAGTCTAGATGTGATGTTGTATCTGTACTTCTAAGCTCTAAGCATATAGATGATGCACAATGGAGTGTCTTTTTGTAATGATCTTCTTTTCTCGAAGTGTAAGCTTCGCAACTTTTAAACGTGAGCTAAAAATGTGCAGCGACCTCGCATGGTCGTAGCAAGGCTAAGCTCTCTTCAGTTGATGCCGATATATCAACAAAGTGAGAAGCACCTGAATGATGCTTCATTTTCCAAGCGTACAAAGCTGTACCGTAAGCAGGAAAATCAATACGCAGCAATTGTTTCTACTACTTCATTTAATAGTTTAACACTTCCACATGCCAGCAAGTACATCCTTCACCATGGTCAATGATCTCAAGCATTAAGTTCAACCAAACTTTGTTGCCATAGCTTACCTCGTTACGACAACGATCTTGACATTGCCTTCGTTCCGTAGTTCGACAACACCAACGTTTGGATAAGAAGAATGCGAGATAAAATGCAACTTAGATCCAATTTATCATTCTCAATAAGCACGTACTTCTTTCTTGTGGACAAAACTTTCTATTTTTTCTGCTGCTAACTTAAACCTGCGTGTCGTCTATATACAATTCAAAGCCAAACTATTAATTCCACACCTGGTTGTGTCATGATCCTCGTCTTCTTAGACTGATAAATCGCTTGGCAATTTTTGTCCACTCGAAATGGGTCGATATAGTGTTTTGGTTCAGCACTGTTGAATGTCGAAACGGATACTACGCATACAAGGGTTCACGCACCACCCAAGCGTTTCAGTGGATATGACGGACGAAATCTAGTCTCTGAACAATGCTAGCCCATAACTTGTCTTTCACCTCAAAACCTCAGCATTACGTACCATTACCAGCAGACTTAAAAGAGCGTACTGTCGCCGTGGTTGGTCTTGGCATGTACGATCCACATTCGGTGAACTTTTGGCGCACCAGATCCAGAGGTCCTTATTGTGAGTCTGTAATTAATAGCATTTCTCATACAAACGTCGCATATGATGATCGTATGCTTGACATATGATGTCTTTTTAATTCTACTGCAAGCATCCGAATATTAATGGATACAGAATTAGGAGTATGATGACACAAATACCATTTGATTCACTAAACATCAATAAAGATATACGGTAATGTTTAGCATTAACTCACATAGATCATATAACCAGCATACGTCTGAAGTATAGAAGAAATCACAAGCTCAGATTTAATACTAAAAATATGTTGAACCTGGTTCCATCACGTTTTTTGTACACTTGGACATAAAAAATTATGGTCGGCACCGGATGTATGGTATCAGTTTAACTCCTCAATTAGCATACCGCTTTTCACCTCCTCGCTATAAACTGCCTCTTTCAAATTTTCCCATCAAGAATAAAGTCTCAGTTTCAATTCCCAGCTGGACTCGAAAGCCGGGGCAAATCGGATAAGAGATTGGCTGGGGCTTCTGCATATGTCAAGTGCTTGGTGTGGTAGAGCAGCGCCAAGTGAATCATTTCCTCTCTTTCCTCGCTACAGTGTTGTGAAATATGCGATCGCTTCTTCTTGTGATTGCTTTACGCCTTGCGTCGACAGTAGCACAACGTGCGACTTCATCATCACTTGAAGGAAACAATACAACGTGTAATGCTGATTATCAACAAGTTGATGATACTGGTGATTGTGTATGTCGAGAAGGATTTAGTGGCCTTGGATGCCGCATGTGTACAGTTAATGCTGAACAAGATTCTCCAGACGTATGCGCTTCAGCTTTAGGCTCTGGTTATTTATGTGTCACAAGTTTTACGTATGATTCAAGTTCAAGTGGTAAAACGTACACATGTACGCTCTCTAGTGACTTACAAGCACTACTTCCTGACGGTGCTATTGACGTGAGTTGTGAACGTGAGAATCAAGGCAATGGAACATGTCAAGCTGCAGTGTATTTGTCAAAAGAGACGATTGATAGTGAACATATGATTGATTGTAATATGACTCAATGTTCAATGCCGACAGGAAGTGTGAATGTTGATTGTGGGGCTATTACGTGCAAATGTGGATCTAGTTGTTCGGCAATGACCAAACAATTAGTGGATGGATTAAGTAATCAACCCGCAAAGATTCAAGTTGATGAATCAGCGGGAATGCTAACACTTCAGATTGAAGGTTCCCCACTTCCTTTATCTGCTACATGTAAAGTCTCCGCGTGTCAATTACCCGGCACTAACGATGGCGCAGAGGCTGGTACAGCAAGTACAACGAGCAGTGATGACGCGTCAACTGACGATACTGGAAAAGGACTAGCAGTTGTGGCGTGTATCGCACTTGCGACTTTGTTACTTCTTGGATTGTTTTCATTCTGTTGCTGCATTGGAGGATCTCGTTCGGATCAAAAAGAAGAAAATCTTGAAACGGAATTGCTTAAAGTAGCTACACGTTCAGCGAAAAAGTTGGAGTTTACAAACCTCAGCTGTTTTGCAGCCCCGGAACGAAAGTCCATTGAACGAAAAGTTGTTTTAAATGCCATTTCTGGTAATGTAGCACGCGGTCAAGTTCTTGGACTTCTTGGACCAAGTGGTTCTGGTAAAACCACGTTACTTAATGCATTAGCAGCTATGCAAAACGGTGCCTCGACATTCACTGGGGAGCTTTTACTCGATGGTAGTCCCGTGACAAAAGGATATCGCCGCGTTGCTGCCTACGTACAGCAAGATGATACTCTCTTTTCAACACTTACTGTGCGCGAGTGTATTACGTATTCAGCTCAACTTCGACTTCCACTTTCTATGACAAAAGCTGCGAAGAATGCAATGGTTAATAAAGTCATTACGGAGTTAAATCTCGGACATATCCAAAACTCTCGTATCGGGTGCGTAGGAGGTAGCACAACGGATCGTGGTATTTCTGGTGGTGAACGACGTCGTGTGAGCATTGGCATGGAACTTGTGACCTCACCGCAGATTCTTCTACTTGATGAACCAACATCTGGACTCGATAGCTCGTCAGCACATTCAGTTGTGAAGCTTATTAAGGAGTTAGCAAGTCATGATCGTATCGTGATTCTCAGTATTCATCAGCCCAGTTCTCGATCGTTTTTACTGCTTGATAAGATTATGCTTCTTGCAAAGGGACAATTGCTTTACAGTGGTCCACCAGCTGACTCCAAGCAGCATTTTATCGATTTAGGATTTCAATGTCCTGATGACGACAATATTGCCGATTTTATTCTTGACGTCGCAAGTGACACTGAGAATTTATCACGCATTCCGTCGCATCAAGACAATACTATTCCAGTGAAAATTGCGTCTTCGGTGCAGCCTCAATCCGAACCATATTCTCCGTCGACACCTGTTGGTAGTCCAGCATACGATGCACCGTTTGTCATTGACGATTCTTCAGAATCTCGAAGCTTGCCAGCAGCTTTCCAAGCAATGATGCTGGAACTTCGTGTCTTATTCACGCGTACGACTCAAAATATCCTTCGTCATCGGTCGCTCCTTGTTCAGCATGTCATCCTTAGTGTCCTGCTGGGTCTAATTGGTGGATTGATTTTCAACAACGTGACGGACAATCTCGCAGGATTTCAAAATCGTATGGGTGCATTCTTTTTCATTCTCACGTTTTTTGGCTTTGCAAGTCTAAGTTCAATGGATTTGTTTATCTCAGAGCGTCCAATTTTCTTACGTGAGACGGGAGCAAGATATTATAGCGCATTTAGCTATTTCCTTGCAAAAATGACGTTAGATGCTTTGTTACTGCGAGTGCTTCCAGCTTCGATATTTGCTTGGATCTTTTACTGGTTGATGGCACTTCAAGCAAAATCCGATCGATTCTTACTATTTTGGCTTACGCTCGTGCTCTTTAATGTCGCTGCTGGATCCATTAGTGTGCTAGTGGGAGTTCTTTCAAAACGTGTTGGATCAGCGAATCTTGCTGCCACGGTGGTACTCTTGATCATGTTATTGTTTGGTGGATTCTTACTGAATGCCGAGACAATGCCAAAGTCAGTTGGATGGTTACAGCATTTGTCGATATTTAGCTATGCATTTGAAGTTCTTATGGTGAATGAACTTGAAGGAATTGTTCTCTCATTTGATGCACCTGGATACCCAGCCGTGCCTGTTTATGGAGAAGTTTATCTTCGGACATTGGGTATGGAATATACTCAGCGATACTATGACGTCGCTGCACTTGCGGTAAGCTCAATCATTCTACAAATTCTTGCCTACTTTTTCATGTCAATGCAAGTTCCTTCAAATCGCGCAATCGATGGCTATGGTAAAAAAACAGTCTAAGATTTCTTTCATGGTAAGAAAGATACAAGTTGAGACTTGTATAGGTATGAAGATAAACTCATTTACAATACATTTTGATCTTTTTATTAATGATGAAGAATGTATAGGACAATAATATTGTCATCAGGGAAGACTAGAGTTTATTTAGATTGAAACAAATTTGAAACATTGCCATGATGTATTTAATAGGGTGTTTCTATGAAAACTTATACCAACATTAGTTTTTAGAGTTTTGCACTAATGCTTATTTCAAATAAGGATGAGGTAAACATGGATATTCGATCGAGAGTGCAATGCACAGATCGCCACGCCAGCTATCCCATATGCTTCCTATATATTACTCTTACAAATAAATCGATTCTTATACCTTGAGGACCGCGCTCCGCTCAGTTTATTCGCACCTTTCACTGGCTCTAACGAAGCGAGGAGTCCTGCATGATGCACAGATTGTTTACTTTTTAATTTAATACCCTGTTATATTCATAGAAAAAATAATATAATATCACTGGCAATTGAATTATGCTAATCGATATCCTGTATATATCAATATTCTATCTCAAAGTCCTAAGCACCCTCTTCTGTACCCCACGACCATCTGTCCACCATCCGTGTGCAATCACCTTCATCACTTTGTAATCTGCTTTCAGCTCTGTGCTTAATGACGTCATATGAGATAAACCCCAAGGATTCAAATGAAGTCCAACCCTCTCGACTACGTTTCCAACCTACACGTATTATCAATGATCATATGAATGTTCTATCGACTTTAACCACTCATCACTTCCACAAACATCTTTCAACATTGCGTAACCTCAAGTTTCACTCTTTTCCGTGGTTTGGATGGTGTGTAATACATGCGTTTCTACAGTTTTACTTTTTATTCAGTCGAGGTTTGGCACTCAAAGCATTAATTTTCATGTACGGCACTTCTGGTGATAATATCATTGAAACGAAGATTAAAGTCTTGAGTTTAGGCTTTCTGGAAGATTTTGTTTGTATTACATACTTTATGACTGCGTTATGGATCTTTGATACATGGAAACGAATAATTCTTGAGCGATATAACGAGATACAGCAGATGATGAAGATTGCAACGTTTTTAATCTCGTGGCTTCTCTTTCTATTGATTCTTGCTCCATTTGTAGCCGATATGATGCTTGTGGTACATCGAAATATGCGATTTTCATTTGGTCTTTTTGCTTCAGTAGTACGAGAACGTGAATATCTTAAAGATGCACCTATTTCAAATGAAGAGATAGAAGCAGCAAATATGACTGGAGGTCACGTGATTCTGATTGCGACATTATTTGCATTGGTACGAGTACGAACAACTTGGACCAATTTGGCATATTGGGACCCATTTCAGATTACATTTGGGACTCATAATACAATTGATCTTACTCTTGAAGAAGGATCAAAGAGTACTAATTCCACTACAATCCATGTACAATCAACTTGTCGACGAATTACTCTTGTTATACTGGTACTCATTGCGGTACCTGCACTTGTGGTCACAATTCGTTCATTTTGTTCTCCTCTTGTAGCCTATGCGGCTTTAAATGTTACATTGAATGAATTACTTTATCACAAATTGGAACCATCTTTAACTATTGAAGAATCAATGCATTTTCGAATTCAACCATGGGTCGAACGTTTTATTGATCCATCAGAAGATCACGAGCGATTTGGACATAATACGCTATATAGACGTACAACTGGTTTTCATGGTAATCTTGCATTTAATGTAACTATTGATCAGGAGAATCCACCAAATGTTTTGGTTATTGGAGTTGAATCTTTTCGATATCGAGATTCACGATATCTTGTAGGACAAGAAGATCCATCCAATTTGTTTAAAGGTACAAATTTAACGATCACTCCACAATTTGATCGGTGGGCTCAACGTGGTGTCGCTTTTCGTAACATTTGGTCTAGTATTCCTACAAGTCGATCGCTTGAAAGTTTAATCTTTGCCCAAGTACCATATCATAGTAGTACTCAAACTGGTATTACTGGAGGGAGGGAAGATGTCAAACTTTCAGGGTTACCCCAATTGTTTTTACAAAAAGGGTACGAAACGTATTTTACCACTGGCTCAACAATTGAACTTGATGCTTGGGATCGTTTTTTACCATCACATGGATATTCAACTGTCTGGAATAAAGAATCAATGATGGAAATTGCTGAAAAGACTTTAAACTTTACTAAAGATGATTGGACTGGGCATCAACGTCGAGCTGGTGGATGGGGTGTTCACGATGATGTTACATTTCAAATTCTAGGAAATTTATTAGTGGAAAAAAAGAATGCACAAGAGAATCAGATGATGCAAGGACAAAAGAAAGTACCTACTTTTATTACCCATTATACCATTTCAAGTCATGAACCATATCATGCCTTGCCAGGTTGGTATGAACGAGGTCCACAACCTGATTTTTCGGTCATGTATAAAGACGAAAAATTTGCAAGTCAAATTGAACATTATATGAAACTTCGGTATTTTTCCGATTCTGAACTTGGAAAGTTTATGGATCGTATGGAGCGTGAAGGAATTTTGAATGATACAATTGTTGTAATTGTTGGTGATCATGGTCAGGCTCCAGAAGTTAAAGTGTGGAATTATGATGAAGTTTCGTCAACTCGTGTCCCAGCTGCAATTATTGCAGAAGGACGATTGGGTGATGCTGTAGGTCTTGTGATTGATGATGCAGCAGAGCACTATGATCTACTTAATACATTAGCAGATATTACTGGATTACCTGAAGGTGGATTTGTTCAAAATGGCGTTGGTCGCTCACTTAAGCGAAAATTACCGTTTGGAGAACGAGTGGTCTTTGCAAACGATCCATTGCGTAAAATGGCCATTGTACGAGGCCATGAACGTCTTCGATATGATCTTGTGACTGATGCAATGATGTTACATGATACGGAATTAGATTATCACATGAGTCAAGATTTATTACCATTAATTAAAGAGAACGAACGTGCCGAATGGAAAGCTTTAAGAGAAGAAGGTCGTCGGATTGCGTCGTACTACATTAAACGATGGGATGAAAATTGCTTACTTGCTGTTGAGTGCGAAGGTTAACACTTCTTTGCATTTGAATGATCTAGAATGAGTAGAATAGATATGCACATTTAAAGACAGAGAATATATGTCGATTACATAACAGATTTTAATATATTAACGAAACCTTTCACATGGTCTGCGAGTGATCGTAGTATATTTTTAATATTAAGCTGAGTATGAACTAGTACTATATTTAGCAGTAGTAATAACAAAGTACCCATGTACTGCATAGCACGAACAATAACTTTGTCAAAGTGAAACTTTTCTCTGGATCTCGTAACGCAACAGTAGCGTAATGCTTATGTAACCCGTATAAAGGTGCGTACGCCCATTCAAGGTGTACCACATTTCGCACCTTTCAAGACAAGGCACGAAAGTGAATGCTTTACGAGCACCCACCCCGCCAAAGCTCTTGTCTCTTATTGCGTCAACCAGTGTGTATTTTTACGAACGTAGCCCACATCCAAAGCATGCTATCCGCAAAGATTAACAATGACTTGGTCTTTTGGCCAAGGACTACGAGTCACACGCGGTGATGTAGGCGCGGTGTTCTGCGACGATTCGGTACTGAAGACTCTACGAGTCTCACCCAAACCGTGTGCCTTAATTGAGAACTAAAAAGCCTCTAGGAATAAGGCGTTTGCTATGGCCAGCGTCTCCTCTGTACGAGGTTTGCACTACATACCTGCTCCCTTCAACGAACAATAGCACGACATCTCGCTGCCGAGCTCACAACGATATTTAGCTTATTACAGATGATCTTGACCTGGCTCAGCAAGCCAAGATGTCTGCAAGCGCAAGGCTGCTGTTAACTCAGTAATGTCGTGGCGATCGATTCAGGTTGCCCGCCACGGCGAAACCCATGCACGTGGGGCTTTTACTAAGACCAAGAGCGAATTGTGTATTCGAGAAGCACAACATGTACAGTCTTCAATCCCCCAATTAATAGTACTCAGAATGTCGCCTGTGTAGTGAGCACGTAAATCCGAAACTCCATATGTACGATGTCTCTGTAACTGAGTGCTAGCGAAAGAACCGAATGTTTCGTGCTCAATTTTTTCGCTGAGCGAAGAAGCGCTTCGTCTTATTTGAATAACGGCATTGTAAGTCAGCTTTAGTAAAGCAAATTTCAGACTATAATGTCGATTTATGCTTCTTCTTCGAAGAATACAGCACATTGTGGACGTTGATGTTAATGCTCACCCAACAAGGTCTTCCCATTAGCAGCTCTACTATCGACTAATGCTCGACAGAAGACAAAATTTATTCACGAACGGGAAGCGTGTTGCACTGAAAGACTCTATTATTTCTTCAAGGAAGGCGATCAGCGGTGCCGGCGCCATAGAGGTATTGCCTTGTAAAACGCCAAACATCCCTGAGTTCTCATTATTATAGATTCCTTCCCGTATTGAGTACAGCTCTGCCCCCCACTAAACAATCGAGTGGAGTACACCACCCTTGCTTATTCAGCATTGACGGGTGAAGGCGACCCTCTCATTGCTGGCTTTCCTAAGCTATCTTACTCATTGATATCGCGTCGAACTCTGTACAAACTTTACTCAAATTCCATCAATGGTTTTGACCTGCGTATCTTTTGACATCTCCATTGGCTGTACCCGGTCTTGGTGGGGTTAATTGATAAACTTTATTTGCTGATATCATCCCAACTGCAGCTATATACTATGAATTAACAAACTCTTCCTAGAATGATTTTGCGTCATTCGCCGGATGCGTGACACTATGACACAGTGCTAGGAGTTGCAAAAGCAGCGTGCAGATACAAGAAAGGGATGAATAACAGATGAACCTGTATTGAGTGGTAGGCCATTATTAAACATTGAGTTGCAAAAGCAGCGTGCAGATACAAGAAAGAGATGAATAACAGATGAACCTGTATTGAGTGGTAGGCCATTATGAAACATTGTTGCCAGCAGTGTGCAAGACTGTCGAACAGTTTTCGATCCCAGCTAGATCGCCCTGATCTACAATTTCAATATATCACGAAAATGCAAGTACATTTTGTGCTGTATGTGGGCTTGGTAAAGCCGTACCATGAAATTTCTCTCACGAGCCATTTGAATATTATTTTGTTAAAGACGATCAAACTTTCAGACACTGATCTATCTTCTGCTCTGTGCAAATATGCAGTTTGAACAGCCTAAGGTAACCCTTCCGATGACATAGCACCGGCATCGCATCGAAAAATGGCATATGTTCGATTTGACCGCACGCCAACTCCCCCCGAATAGAGGCCTAATGACGCCGTAATCTAGATAGATCATTTTGACACTACTGTCGCTTTGCGCAATTGCTTCAAAAGGCGGATCACACCACGTGATCAAGCAGTCTGTCTGGCCATCTGTATGGATATAGTCTGTATTAGAGATGTTTGTTCTGAAGCTTAGCACTTAAGCGTCCTGATCAGGGGCAACCGCCATGGGAAGAAATGTTGGCCAAACATCTTTGTCTGACAGCTTGGCTGTATCCAAGCCAATAACGTTGTCGCTGACAGCAGCAAACGAGCTATCTTACGCAGACTGCCAAGTATTCTGCCGGAAGCGGCAGAATACTTGGCACATTAGATTATCATCCAATGTTAGATTTGTGCACCAGTACATAGTGCTCACAGAATTGTGCGTCTTTACTCTACCGAGGTGGCCACATCAAGATGGTATCACGTGGCCCGTGCGATTCTTCTCTACTTGAGGATCTTTCCATGAATACCTCATAGGCTGAGCGTCGAGTGCGGTGCTGCAAAACGTTTGACACGAAATAGCGGTCAATGTTCGATAATCGACGTCCAGATTCGGGACCTTAGCTCTCAAACATTCAACAGTGCCACTAAGTTTCACCTTACTCGTACGCGCCGTCACAATTGTAATTTATAGTCTAGGCGATTGATGATACAGTTATATCCGGTGTTTATTGCAAAAGGTGATACAAATAGGAAATATTCGCGAGATGTGATACAATTCTGCTTTAAACACTAAAAATGCGAGACCTGGTAAAATTACCGAGTGTAGCCATTCTTACTTTCAAGGCGTGTGCCATGGAGATGGGGGAATTCAAGCAGAAGAGATGGACTAACGGCAAGGAGGCTGTGCGAGCAATCAAAGATGTCGCACTAGCACAAGGAATGTGTGCAATCGTCATCAACAGGGGGGGACGTTTTGTTTATTAAAGTGTGACAGTGCAACTATTGGTTGCGAGTGACACACTCATCTAGCACGATTGATTCGATTCAATAATCACCCATTAGACTGGCATGTGACGGGAGGCAATCTCGATCACCAAAATGTGTTAGAGTGGCTAAGCCATCACGAATCCAGTTAGTCAAAAACCCTGTGGTCCGTGGTGCACTTGTAGCTAACCCAGCCACATCAACCAACGCTCTCGTCGCACAGCTTCGG